AGTTTGACAAGTAAGTTTGTTAAAGCAACCAAAGAATCGGAAGAATTATATAAGATTCGTTTGACTTGTTCTTTAGATTATTCAAGATATCTCATAGCATAAGGCATGGCTTTCCATGGACATGATGAATCCTCTACTTCACTAAATAAAGGTAATTTTAGAGAGATGGTAGATTGGGTAAAATCTCATAATGAACAAGTGAGGGATGCTTTTGATCGTGGTTGAAAAAATTGTACAATGACTTGCGGTGACATTCAAAAGGACCTTGCAACGTGTTGTGCACATGAAGTTACTAAGGTGGTTATGGAACAGATTGGTGATAGACAATTCTCCATGCTTATTAACGAGTCACGTGATATATCCATCAAAGAGAAAATGGCAGTGATGTTGAGGTTAGTAGTTATATTTTCCAATTTCTAATTTTCATTACCTATTATTTTCTATGCCGCCAAGTAAACTGGTTGAATTTGTTTTAGGTTTTTGAATGACAAAGGGAATGTTGTGGAACAATTTATTGCTCTACATCATGTCACAGATACTTCATCTAAGTCATTAAAGGATGTTATTTATGGTATTCTTGATAAGTACACATTATCTATTTCAAGGATACGAGGGCAAGGATGTGATGGAGCTTCAAATATGAGAGGTGAATTTAATGGTTTCCAAAGAAAAATTCTAGATGAAAACCCTTATTCTTTCTATGTCCATTGTTATGCTCACCATTTGCAATTGGTTGTTGTGTCTGTTACTAGTAGTTTCTCATCTATTCATGATTTCTTTGAGTACATCACATTGATTGTGAATACAACAAGTGCATCTTGTAAGAGGAGGGATGCTTTGACAGAGGCACAATTCCAAGATATTTTAAATAAACTTGAGAGTTGTGAGATATCTAGAGGAAGGGGCTTGCACCAATCATCTAGAGGAAGGTATTACAAACGAGCTTTCAAATGTATTGTAAAGAAAAGATCTTAATATTGTGAATGCCATGGAATTATTTGATGTTGTCAAAGCTCGGTTGAGCATAATGAGAGAGAGTGGTGGGAATAATTTTTTTGCCGATGTCCAAGAATTTTGTGTTGCTAAAAGTATTCCGGTACCAAATATGGATGAAGAAATACCGATTCGGGGTCGTTCAAGAGCAGAAGGGAGGACTATCACTAATCTTCATCATTATCGTGCAAAGATTTTCTATGTTGCTATTTATAAAATATGTGTGGAGATGGATCACCTCTTTAGTGAAGGAAGTAACATTATACTTGATTGCTTCTCATGTCTTGACCCAAAGAACTCTTTCTCAAAGTTTGATGTTGATAAGCTTGCTCGTCTTGCTGATATTTATTATGCAGACTTTTCTGATGACGACCGAGGAACAATTAGGGATCAACTGAAAACTTATGTGCTTCAAGTGAGAAGAAATGCTTCATTTTCCACTTGTGAAGATGTTAAAAGTTTGCCTATGAAGATGGTTCAAACTGAGAAACATTTGGTATTTCCATTGGTTTATAAACTTATTGACTTAGCTTTGATATTGCCGGTGTCGACAACATCCGTTGAAAGAGCTTTTTCAGCAATGAAGATTATCAAGTCTAAATTGCGCAATAAGATCAACGATGTGTGGTTTAATGACTTGATGGTATGTTACATCAAGCGGGAGATATTCAAGTCACTTGATGATATTCATATTATTCGAACATGCACCACAAAGAAGTCTCGGAAAGGACACTTGCCTCGTAATTTTATTTAACCCGCTATTGTAAGTTTATGTTTATTTTTTTTATTGTAAACTATATTTTTGTTGACAGAGTGACGAGTATCTTTTGTTTTGATGGATGATTATTTATCTATTATATACAATGTGAATTTGCGGTCTTTAAATTTTTGTCCAGGCTTTATAATTTTTCTGGCTCCGCCACTGACTCTGACGTCTATCTCGGAGTTCTGCTGATTCGATCTCTTTATACCTTAAAATTTGTAGGTTCCTTAAGGTTAGAATATTTATTTTTTTCAACATTGTTTGTTATTTTCTTGCACTCTGAGTATGGCTTATATGGGTGACTCAGAGATTGGTATCGTTGTTGAGGAGGAATGTGTCCTTGTCCCTTTTATCCTTGTAGAAGTTGCTTGTGAATTTTCTTTTCCAACTTTGATTTTAGAAAACCTAGTGTACGTAGATGATTTTAAGTGAGAGTGGACAACTCAAACTTATTTTATGGCACACAAACATGCTTTTGGTTGTGAACCAACTAATAATGAAGTTATGAGGTGGATAGAATCAAAATCATATGCTTATACTTAATCATTTTTTAGGGTCATGTGGAAGCAAAGTTAAAATGGATCAAGAGGACCATCGAAATGGTGAGGCTCCTGAGGTTGAGTGTCAACTTATTTGGGTGGGACCAAGAGACGTTGAACACAATATCTAACTATGGTTACCAAAGGGGTCTAGACAACGCCTTTATTGAGGTGGGCCTTTCTCAAGGTGTATGAAACACAAGAAATGAGGATTTGAATTGAGTTTCACCAAATTAAATCTTTTCGTTGATCAATGAACAAGTTAACTAGTGCATAAAAATAAATGAGCACAATTATTTTTATCCTGGTTCACTGTTAACTAAGTTACTTCAGTCCACCCTCAAGGTGATTTTCCTTTTCCACAAGGACTTAATCCATTATAATCAACTGATTATAGACAACCACAACAAGTCCGATCAACCTTAATGTCACCCACACTAAGCCTGTTGATCCTTGTTGCAAATCCACAATGACTGCAGTCACTGTCTTCTCGAGACTCCTGGCTAGACCTTAGCCCTTTCTCAAGGAATCTATCAACAACAGTTGATTTCAAATATGTGTATTATAGTTTACTTCTTATAAGCAGATTACACAAAAGTTTTAGTTCAACAAACACAAAAGTGTTGACAGCAAGATATGAATAAAATCTCATTGCTATTTTACAAAAATATACACAAAATATTTCTCTAAAGAGCTGCAAACGTTTTGGCTTAGTTTTGTTTAGCAGAATCATTGTTGCTTTCTTCTTCCAAGTCTTCCTTTTATAGCTAAAAACAAATTTGTTGAAGGGTAGAAAAGGAAACAGTAATCTAGTTTTTTTGTCCCAAACGGCCACTATGGGAGTGGTAGACAATATAGTACACAAGGACTGTTCTTACGCCACCTTATCAGGGTAGTGGTTAGAGTGTAATTTGTACATTATGTTCACCAACACACGTTAACCATTTTGACCGTGTCTTCTAGTCTTCAGAGGCTTCTAATAAAATATTGTTGAAGCATGTTTTAGAAGGATCAATCTTGAGTCTTCAGAACCTAAGTCTTCGAGTCTTCAGAACTTGTTCAATAGAACCTTGTCTTCAGAGTCTTTAGCATTTGGTCTTCAGAAGCTATTTCTTCAGATATTCAAAACTTGTTCAACTGAGCCTTGTCTTCAGAATCTTCATAACTTAGGACACAAAAGAAAAATTTTAGAAGGCCTCCAAAGCTTTCTTGTAGAGTCACGATCATAAGCTCTTGTACTAACATTCCTTATAACCGTTGCAAAATACAAATTCCAGAATCTTGACTTTGACTATGCACATATCCACATGTTTTCTTCCAGAATGTTGTGATAAGAACCTGATGATGTCATATGTCTTCATATCAGAATCAGAATCTGTTTAGCAAAAGCTACACACTAGAAACAAATCGTTAGAGTATATAATTATTCTCTATGATAACAAGTAAAGTTATCATCAAGACATAAGGTCAAATATATAATCAAATCTTGTTCTTACACTTTCTTTTAATTGAGGGGTTATGTCTCTGGAAAATGATAAGAGGTTGTGCAGTTAGTACGTGAGGCGTGTTCTTCTTCTCCATGAATGTCTCTCCTCTTATACAGGGTTTAGCTCACTTTCAATGGTTTTGGGGTGAGGGTTCTTAATCATACGGAGATATCCCCTTTGCAGTTGCTCCCCGTGAGCTAGGTTCATATCAAAATATTTCAATATTAGTGTAAATAAAAAGAAAGGTTCTCTGAACCTAATGCATTTTATTTTCTATCTCTTCAACATCCAATGAACGTCGGCCAACTCAGACTAAGGTCAATGTTTGCTCTCTATTAAAAAATATAAAATATGTTTGAAGTGTATCTTGACAGTGTTAAAGTAACACACACACACACACACACACACACACACACAGTTTTTTAGGAAGGCCTTGACTCTTTTAATGGTGTGGGATCCTTCGTTGCTACCTCAAAAAGCGAATAGATAGTATATTGGGACCCAAATATTAGTGTAAACAACCACCAAAAAGGAAAGGGATAACATATTTTATAGGGATGAAAATATCATATGTATACTTTGGTTATTTTATATCAAGGACACTTACTAACTTTTATACTTCCTTGCCCCATCTTGGAGATAAGATGAGTTGTCTAAAGAAGATGCGTGGTATGAGAAGAACGTTGAGGAATACACTTTCACCATTTGTTGTTGATGTTATGCAATTTTTATAGAAGACTCTTCTCGAGGAAAACATGTCATATCATAATTTTTGATCTAAGATTTCATCTCTGTTTTGCGTCATTGCATTCAACAAGATCGCAAACTTGATTCTCTCCAAACACTGTCATTTTGTATTTATCTTTTATCTTTTATATTTACTAACTCATAATTAAAATACCAAAAAAATTAATCTTTTATTAGTTTTATATATTTACATTTTTGTCTTTTTCATTCAAAATCTCAAATATATATATATATATATATATATATATATATATATATATATATATATATATATATATATATATATATATATATATATATATATATATATATATATATATATATATATATATATATATATATATATATATATATATATATATATATATATATATATATATATATATATATATATATATATATATATATATATATATATATATATATATATATAATTTGTTGCTAACATTTTAGTTATTATTATTATTATCATCATCTTTGTCTTGTTGTCATAATAGAAAAAGAAAAAAAGCAATTTGCATGGACCACTTTATCTTTGCCATTCTCACACGTTAAGAGCACCACCGTCTCCAAATCCCTTTCCAAATTACCATGTTTGCTGCTATACAAAATAGATACAAATTTGCTGTCCACAAAACACAACAAAAAACCAGTACAGCAAATCAGTCCAAACCCTGTTACAAATCTGCACCAAAACAACCAAAGATTACATCAATTTAGCAAAACCAAAACTTGCATCAAGAAACCATAAAAATAGCTAAATCAAAAAGATTTCTGATTCATATTTGCCTCTCAAATTCACCCTTCATCACCTATATAATGGAGCCACAAGAACAGTAGAAGGAGAGAAAGAAAACAGCAGCAAAAAAAACACCATCGATCCTCTCTCAAAACTCTGCTGTAAAATCTCAATACTTCCTCCATCCCAAAAGCTTAAAGACAACTCAAAAACCTGCAAGAATAACTTTTCCACAACCAGAAACCAACAATATAAAACTAAAAACCTTCAACAATTCCATTTTATTATTTGGACCTTACCCGATCCAGCTTAAGCCCAACTCGGTTTCCTCCACTCATGGCCCAATCCAAAAATTTTGTCCCCCTGTTTACTTATATTCAAGTCCATCTTCTGTTTTTTTATTTTATTTTTTTTTAATAAATTTTATATTAGTTTTGATTTGTTTTGATTTTGATTTTAATTATTAGTTTCGTTAACTGTTTTTTTTTTTATTATTTCTTTTAATTGTCTTTAGTTTTATCTTTGTTATTTGTTATTTTTAATTAATTTTTGTTAATTGATTTTATTTAATCCAACAAATTTGATCGATTAGTTTTATTAAATATTTTCAATTAAGTTAATTAACTTTTACTTGTGAATCATTTAATCATTTAATTGTTAGTTGTTTAATCTTTCTTCGATTATTTGATCTTTATATTTTGCTTGTGTTTAAATTCAAGAGAAAAGATCGTCTCGTTGTCTTTATCTTTTTCAAACGTTCACCTCTTTAAAACCAAAACCTAGACATTAGGTCGTTGTGTAACACCCGTTAAATTCCATGCAAATATATTGAATAATCAGAGTAAGTAACATGCATATAAAGAGGGTATCACATTGCTTCACGAAACAACCACTAATGCACAATGGTCATGTTCAATAACACGCATTCAAATTTATATTTCATATGCACACCACAGTGGAATAAAACTCATCCCATATCATTTCTCATGAATGGATCTCAAATGTAAATCATACATCGAAGGATAAGCACTAAAGGCCATACACCTCATTATCTTAATGCAAACATAAATACGAGAATATAACAAATATCTCATAAGAATAAACATAAATCAGAACGATCACATGTTACATGACAAGAGCATGACAACTACCTATAAAAGGAATAACAAGAATCTAAACTCTTCGCCTAGTACTTGCGAGCACTATCGTTATCTTCGGTACCTGAGCGATATCGTACAAAACATCATTCTAACAGAACGGTGAGAATTCATATCATCATGAAAATACATAATAATAAGTAATGCATAATAAACATTCACCAACCGAATTCATCACACTTCACATATTCATATGTTCAGCATTTTCCAATACATTTCATATATTCACATATGCAACATTGCTCCAAAATTCAAGATACCAAAGATAATCAACCACAATAACACAATGTAGCAATTAAATCAATTATCACATATTTCATATTAGAACACAATCTTCACATCGACTCAGTGACTCAAATGTAACTCAATGCAATATGCATGTGATGCTAATCATGAATATCATGTTCACCTCGCTCCAGATACCCACTAGGATCTGAGCCACCAATATGAATATATAGTTCACCGTTTCAGATCCCCACTATAGGACCAGAACCACCAAAACCCGGAGTATAAGCTCCCCATGGATACATTTGCAAATACCAACAAATATATACAATTAAGATTGTCCATTCAATCTTAATCATACAAGCATATACAATATTCCATCACATATGAACTACCCCATCATTTACACAAACATACATGTATCATGTTATCTTCACTAACAATGCATTCACATACCATTTCAACACATCACAAATAACATATAGCATACAAAGCCAAACAATATTATTCACATCCAACACTCATTCTCAAATCAAACAACACAATTACAAGTCATTCACCTAATTACATTATTATTAAATCATTTATTTCCAACAAGACCATATTTATTGAAAATATTATGGCATTATCTTCCTAACACTTCGAACGGGGACTCAAATGCAGTTATAGTTTAAAAGATATGAATTATTACAGTTTCAAAGGAAATGCAAACACTGACATCATGCATTAACACCACAAAACCTTATTACAAACAAAAATATTTATTTCCAGAATATGAAACCATTTTTACAAGAAATTAAACTGTACTAGATTTCTCCAGGTTTAAACGGTGCGTCAAACAGATACCCGAAACTCAAGTTATAAATTTTTGAAGTTTTACAAAAATCCTGCGTTTTTCCTGCGAGACAGCTCTCGGGTTCCCACTCAAATCCTCTCAAAATCTCATCTAAACATCACTGTAATACAAATTAAATACATAACAACCTATATCTAATATGTATCAACAATTAAGAACCTTAAAATATGATTTCTAGCATAAAAGTTTTGAATCCAAATCCAAACCCTAACATTTCAAATCTAGAAATTTCAAGAACAAAATCCATATTTCCATGCTTCTACCCATCACCCATTATTATATAAACTCATGATTCAGAGAATGTCTACCCTTACCTTAGATAAAGACACTTCTAGAGTTCTTCCTTCTCTTCTCCTCTTTTCTCCTTTTTTCTTCTTTCTTCACATTCTCTCTCTAATTCTATAACTCTCTTGTTTTGTATAACCCACTCTAATTCTAATTGGACTTAAACCTTATCACCACTCAATTGAAATACAAGGCCCAATAGTATTCTACTATTCTCACACTCATAAAACCAATAATATAATACACATACATATATTCCATTTTATCAAGTATTCACATAACAATCCAATTAAATCACATATTCACCAAAACTCAAATAAGCAAATAGTTCTCACATCAAATAATAATTATCATAAAAATTAAATAATAAAATAATTACTAAATAAAAATTGGGGTGTTACAACTCTCCCTTATAAGTACAAATTGTAGCTTTTTGTATATACTTTTTGTTGTACTTATCGACCTTTTGTTATTAATATCGTTGAATAAACCCGACTTTTGTGTAAATATGTTTAGTTTGTATTAATTTGTGTTTTTGTATACATAGTGTATCGTTTGATGTTTTTCTATTTATTTTGTAGGTATTTGTTACATTTTGGAGTATTGAGGAATAAGGTGTCGAAGACACGAATCCAGATGCACATTTTTGGAATAAAAGACCAATTTTGGGAGATTTTATCCAGGAGAGTCCGCTTAGCGTGCACAAGCCGCTAAGCGCGAGTGCACTTAACGCATTTGTAGCGTGCTGCTTGCGTTTGACAATTTGGGAGAACCAATGTTTTCAAGCCCTCTTAACATGGATAGCGCGATTTATGTCAGTTTGATGTGTAAAATAAGGAAGTCGCGCTTAGCGCGCCAGGCCCGCTTAGTGCGGTCTGCTGAGATTTGTTTTATAACTTCATTTCATTCATTTTTTAGGAATGTTTTTGGGAAAGTTTTTGCTCCCAACTCCATCAACCTTTAATTTTGTTTGGATTAGCTTAGATAACAACTATGGAGCTTGCATACAGATGATTTGGGGTGGATTTCTCTTTGATCGATGCTGACAAACCGGTATATTTGTGGTTCATTTCTCTTTTTCTTTGTGTATTCTCTATTGGTTGAGTTTGTATGTATATTTACTTTGAACTCATGTATATTTTTCGCCCTTGGCGTTATATAAAACTTGCTTTACAAATCTTTGTCGATTGTTATCCTTTATTTTTACTCTGTGCTAGGGATTTAAGTTGTTATAGACATATTTTGCTTAGAGTCTTATCTAGGATGATCATCTAATAGTGTCTAAATTCTAGAGATAGATTTAGCATTGTTATTCACTTAGGGTGTCTGTGATTAATGCCTCTGTGTTGTTTGTGTCGCTTTCGTCGATGCAAGCGAGCACGGTTGAATTCTGTGTTGTTGAGGTGGTTGAGAGATCACTATCGAGGTGATGCAGCGGGCCTCTCAATTTGGGTTAGAAATGAATTAGGTTGTGAGTGACACATGATGACATTGATGAATATTGTAGGTTTAGTATAACAGGTCGATAGATTTAAGTATGTGAGAAGTAGTATATATGCATGCTTGATAAGTTATTTCTTTTTTCTTTTTATACATTTATATTTTGTTGATACTTTTACTTTCAACCTATTTATCCTCAAACTCATTAACAAGATATTTGTCGAATGGAGAATCAATAACCAATCTCTGTGAACACGATACAATATAACCTAAATATCACCCGGTAAATAATAACTTACTTTTTGCTTGTCGCTCTACCGCAACAACAAAATAGCACCGTTGTTGGGGATTGGTTATATTGATTTCTCATTACGATAATTCTTTTGTTTTTGAGTTTGGTAATTAAGTTATATGTTGTATAGAATGTGTACATAGAACTTGTCTATTTTTACTTGTACATGTTTTGTGTTTACTTTTCATACTTGTGCATATATGTGTTTTTATTTGTTTCCACGTATTATTGTGAATTGTCTCGTTTTTTTAACGTTTGTTGTGTGGATGTTAGGATACTTTCTTAAGGTTTGCACGGTGTGACAATACCATTACATGACGTGAGGAGGTTACTAGATCGCATAATAAAGGCGTCGAGATTACGACGTAAAACAAGCATGTTTTGTTTATATTCATTTATGTATGTGTTGGCTTGTGTTTTAACAAGTTGAAATTGGACCTATTTTAAATTCTCAAATTTTCACTTTTCAACTTATTAATTCAATTCCAATCGTTTGTTTCGCTATGTAGATTTGTGTTTTTCCGTAAGCTTGTCGTGTTTAGCTTGAGGAAGTTTGTATGTTGTAAATATTGTACATGTGTAGTTAAGTGTGTATGATGATTGTGGAGGTTGCTGCACTACTGTTGTTGTTCTAGTTTTTCTGCAACTGGTGTAGCGCGTTAAGCGCGGTTTAGGCCGCTTAGCGTGCTCTCCTGTGTTGCGCCAGTGAAGTTTTTTTTAATGTTCACTTGGCCATCCTTTTTCCCACTTCCACCTAGGTTTTAAATATTAAAGTACAATTAATTTTTGTTGTTGTTGTTTGGACTCAATTTGGTTCGATAGCTTGAAGTCGCTTTTAGTGATTTTCCAAGTTTGAGTGTTTCAACTTGCAAATGCACGGTAATGATTTTGTTAAAGTTTTGTACACGTTTGAGGTATGTGTTTATCGCTTTCTATACTTTAGCATATTCATGATACTTAGACTTTTTACAATTTTTATACCATTCATTCTTTTGCATATTTGTTCATTTGTAAATCACTTTAGTTCATATCCTTTTTGTGAGGTAGCTTTCCATTATTCATATATGCTGGAGACCACAATTC